CTGATGCCTTTAGCCACCAGTTCGCTCTGTAGTGGCGAACTTCTTGGCCAGTGGGATGATTTAAGTGAATGAGACTTTGCACATTCATAATGCTGGGAAGAATCAGGGCATAAATCAGGCATTAATCTGAAATAATGTTTACAGCAAAGAATAAATATGATCCTGTGATTAAGGTGTTAGACAGAGACTGAAGAGAGTTGGGTTTTCCTCTGTAGTCTGCTGTCAGTTTGAGTGTGACCTTGGGCAAATCTCTGTGCCTCAGAAGTCTGTCTGCAAAAAAGGGCAACTTCCCAACCTCGTGGTGATGTTATGAGAATAAGTGTGTTGTAAATGGTGGAGCTCCAACATGCCAGGGTAATGGAGACCATAGAGTTAATGTTAATTGCAAAGATCATCAGGAAAGTAGGACAGTGATTATAGTGAAGGACGCTGTGACTTGCTCAGCTCCAGTCATTGGTGACATAGAATCTTCCAGGTGGGAATGAAGTTTTTTTTTTTGCCTTTACTGTTTTTAATTTAACTTACGATTAGCCATCCCCTCTGTACCGTGATACAGAGCCCAGTAAGTACACTGGATATAGATACTCAATGAAAAGCAAATTATGCTTTCTTCAGTTTTATATAAGAAGATATAATTTTACTGTAAAGTATGTAGAAAAAGTAGGATAAATCACCACTCTTTTTTTATTATTTTTTTCCCTGCATTGTGCTGCCTGTGCCTGAAATTAATTGGCCCAGTGCATAGCTGACTTATGCAGCAGCAGAGCACAAAATCCTTCCTTTGCTGTGCTGTCTAAAAAACAATTTGGCCGCAACCACTCTGTGTGTCTCATTGTTTCCTTGTATTACTCATCTGCCTATATTCGCCTATTGTTTCTTGTCTTATATGAAATTATAAGTTTTTTGGGAAAGAGAACATTGTTATTGTGTTTGCACAGAATCTACCATGTGGGGGGCTTATTCCAAGACAGACGCTCCCAGGCTTACTGGCAGTATAGATAATAATAAATGCCACTGCTTTTACTGTCTAGTAGTACAAGGGATAAGTTTTGGCTCATGGGTTCTAGGGACTCCTTACATGCTTTAACTTTTCATAGGGTATTTTTAGGCTTTTCTGGATGTGTAACACACAGGACTGGAAGTTTGGTCCCTTGCTATCACAGGCAATTACGTCATATAATCCCTTTCATAAACTGTTCAAGTGCCAGTTCCCAGCAGTAGTTAATATAATAAATGAGACTTGTTTTAGTTGTTTCTAGAGAGACCCAGCATGATTTTGCAACATCAAACATCAGGATGGTGAGCCAATACATTAAATCAGACTCACAGCAGTAACTCAAAGTCAGCGTGTTAAATAAATAAATAAATAGACAAGCAAACAAATACATAAAACTGAAAAAGAAATGATGGCCTGAGCAGAAGAATAGAGAAAATATTTGCACTGTTAATGTTGGGGTTTTTTTGAAGAGGAGGAATTTAAGTCTTTTTTTGAATGTTACCTTTGTTAAAATGCAGTGCGTTCCTGGGGCCCAAAGACCTTTTCCCATATAAAGAATATAAAGATAAGTTTGGGAAGTCAAACAAGCGAAAAGGATTTAATGAAGGCCTGTGGGAAATAGAAAACAACCCCGGAGTAAAGTTTACTGGATATCAGGTAAATGACTTTCACTTCCATTCCTCCTTATGTTTTCTTCTTTGAAGACTTCTTGTCGATGTAAACATTGTATGAGTGATGTGGAAGGTCCTGGTTTTGGTGGAACTAGAAAGTTTCACAGCTTTTGTAATTGTGTAATGTAAAGACAGCTGTGGTCTTGCACTCTGTGACAAATTGAACTTTAATCATACTGCAGAGCCCTTTGCTTTCTGTGATATTCTGGGGTGGTGAAGTGGAAAGTTCTGTGGCAGATTTAGTTGAATTAAAAATGGAGGATTTTATTTACTCCAGTATAAACATGAATAATTTCTGACTTCTTCTTTCTGTTGTTTATTTTTATATCAGATTCAGTGTATTTTACACAGACCTTAAGGTCACTGCACTTTTGATTTTTACATTGGTAATGTATAACACGTAGGACACCACTGCCAAAGTTGTGAGGGGTGAGAAGGTGGAGGTTTACACTGCTGTTACGAGATAGTAGCTGCTGTACAACAGCTCTCCCTGTTGGATGTCCAGAGCAAAAAGTCAGTGAAGCTGGAGGGGGGGGAAGAGTAGTTGGTGGGCTGTGTAAAACCAAAGAACTTTTCTCATTAAAAAAATGTGGTCCTTTGAAGGCAGAAATCACCTACAAAAGAAGGCGAACACCTATTACATTATTAGCACAAAACCTTACAAACCAGAGATAGGGACCACCTGCAGACAAGCTGCTGCCCCTCTCAGTTCCTGTTTCATATTTTCAGCCCTACAGATGTTTTGCATACGCTTGGGGATTTAAAAAAAATCTAGTGAATAGTCTGTGGGAGATGGACTGTCAAAGAGCTCTCAGCCTTCTGGTCAGTGTTTGCTTTTTCCTAACATGGAGATCTTGCCCTTTGAGGGGTTTGTAACAACCATCTTCTCTCCTAAGTAAGTCTCTCCTATTGCAGCCAAAGTCTAAAAGTTTCTATAGTTTTGCCCAAAGTGGAACACGCCAGATCTCTGCACTGAGCAACCCTTAGTTCTCCAGCAAACACATTTTTGTTATCAGATCTTCTGTTTCTGTGTAAACCCTTCAGAACACGCTATCCCAGAATCTGCATCTGATAACTGTTTCCAAGTGGTGACTGAGAAAATTGCCTTTGGAGTCCTTTTTGTTGATAATTGCAAGAATAACCTGAGCTCTTCCTGACTATAGTGATTAAAGTGTAAGCTGTCTGATACCAGGATTTCTGTCTTCAATATAGAACAAAAAATAAGTAATAGATTTTAGTGGTATTTTTGTTGTTTATGTTGTAATTGTTATTGTTATTTTAAAGGCAATTCAGCAACAGAGCTCATCAGAAACTGAAGGAGAAGGAGGAAATACAGCAGATGCCAGCAGTGAGGAGGAAGGTGATCGGGTAGAAGAGGATGGAAAAGGAAAAAGAAAGAATGAAAAAGCAGGCTCAAAACGGAAAAAATCCTATACTTCAAAGGTTATCTTCTGAGTTTTGCCATTGTTACCCATATGCATTTATAATTAGAATACTGTCCACCTCACAGCAATCTATTTTTCCTTCTTCAGCATTTTGATTCCAGTACTGTAACGATGGTGTTCAAACAGGCAAAGGGAAGTGCTCTTACTTTTGTAGGCAGCCTCGGTGAGACAGCACTTGAAATCCTCTGCCCTGTTCGAGCACCCACACTTTGAGAAGGAGGTGAAAGTATGGGAAGGAGTTCAGAAGGGCTGGAATGGAAATCTATGAAAGATGGATTGATAGGTTTGATCATCTTAGATAGGTATTTCCCCATGAAGAGCAAAAAAAATCCTTAGGACTGTGCCTCCTGGGAGACATGAGATCAGGTTTGGCTCCTGTCTGGGAGAATTCCAGCCTCCCTCTCTTGTCTCCAGTGCGAGTGCCCCCGATGCTGTGCTAAAAGATACAGCAGGGTCAGATGTGCTCAGCTGCGCCTGTTGTAGCTGAGTGTAAAATACTTCAGTACAGGATACAGAATGGGAGGGAGGAAGAACTAATTCATTAAGCAGGGAGTAGGGCATCCAATTTGTAGATAATAGACCTGCACTGTAGTACCTAACTGACTTGTTAATATCTAAGTAACAGTATAGATGAGGAAACTAAGAGTAATGTGTCTCATAATGGCTGGTGAACGTAATCACCCGCATAGTGACAGCTTTGGGTTCAGATACACTTCTCACTTGTCGCCTGGCTGAAAGGGAGCAACGTTATAGTCACTTCCTCTGGTTCTGTGTGTTCCTCCAGGTCTGTACTTCACTTAAAAAATTGTGGAAAGTGTGGCAGAGTCATGTTCATTCACATTCATGTTATTCTTCCCTGAAAGTGAAAACTAAATGAAATGAAAAGAAGCAAGTAAACAATCATCTGATCCAAGCTCAGTTTGGGAGAGAGCAGGAGTTTTTGTGGTTCACTCACTGAACAAAATGTATTAAGTAATTTCACCCCCTTTGTGTGTTTTATATTAGGAATTCAGGTCTGGTCTACCATCTTCCTTCCAGAAGACCCTGGGCAAACAGAGGATTAGGAAAATGGTGGCTTAATGCCACAATTTATCCTTTTGTACTGTAGAATTGCATAACCTAAAAGGGAGCAGAAAAGATGTATTGGTTCCACATGGCTTTAATGTTAATATATTAAAGCTGACAGCACTAAAAAAAGTATGGAAAGCAGCTCTGCTAATGTTATTCTCATTTTACATCTCTGTGTTTAATCAAAACTTTTGTAAAGCTGGCACCATCTGTTTCATTAACTAGCAAAACCTACAGGTGACCCAACACTAATACCCATCTCCTGTTACTGTGTCTGTCTCACAGTCAATTGTGCTGCCAACCTGTGCTTGAACACAGAATTTCTCCTTTTGCTTCAATGATGGCAGTAACTCCAACTACTTCACCTGAAAAACGCTTTTCACCCCATGTATCTTCCCCAATATTCACCTTGAACCACATGATCAGACAGCGTTCCACATACATTTCAAAAGTGTCTTTCTATGATTGAAACTCAGTTTTTACTTTTTAACATTGTTGTTGATCATTTTAGAAATCCTCCAAGCAGTCACGGAAATCTCCTGGAGATGAAGATGATAAGGACTGCAAAGAGGAAGAAAATAAGAGCAGCTCTGATGCTGGGGACGCAGGCAATGACACAAGAAACACTTCTTCAGATTTGCAGAAAACCAGTGAAGGGGTAATCTTCTGTTAATATAATTCACTTCCCATGCAGTTTGCTACTGGGGTCTTTGGTGCTAGGGGTGAAAGGCATCGCATTGCTGTGACCTGTGCGGACCACATGCCATCGTTTTACATGGCATTTCAGTGCTCAGAGTGTGTCTAGAACAGGAACGTGGGACTGGTCCCTGCGTTGCTACAAATTTTGCTCTAGAGAAATGACCGAATGAGGAAAGATACTATTAGCATTATTTTTGTTCCAACACTAGCATGGATGTCAGCTGAGAGGAACTACTGAAAACCATGAGCTGGAATGATACAAAATTGATGCGAGAGCAGATTCAGACTGTGTAATGCATTTTGGCTCACTGAACAGTGGGAGCCTTCACAGTTGGTTAAAATTTGTGCAGTCCTACTGACTTCTTTGGAGTTCATGAGGGTTGATGTGCACTTCACAGACTCTGCATACTGCAGGTTTTAGGGCAGATCCTGCTTGGGATATGATCTTCCAAGGAGGGGACATACAGTCTGCCCCAGAGCAGGTTCATATGATCTCCTTGTACCTTTGCGTCAGTTGTGCGTTCATATCAATATTATTTTGTTGTGACCACAACAGCAGAGAGGAAGGCTACAGAGCAGGGGGATTGGCACAGGAATTGGTTAATCATCAGCCACCTTTAACAACCACTACTCTTTCCATGCCTCTGGAGCAGCACAGGCCTCCCTGCTCCAGCATTACTGCTCCAGCTCAGACCCAGTTCTTGTGCAGTTCCCATGCCAAGGCTCTGCCACGTGGCCAGCAGCCAGGCTGGGCTGTCACAGGAGCTGCTGAGTGACATGAATCCCCAGGTGTGAGAGGAAGCCAGCCAGCACAGGCTCTCCTCCGATATTGCTGAGGTGCCTTAGCACTCAGCTGCGTGCTGAGGCTCAACCCTTTCTCACAAAATACAACCACTGGGGAGCTGCTGTCATCTTCTCCTTAAAGACTCCTCCCAGAGCTTCCTTTCCCCTTGTCTCTCTGTGGTACAGTGGATGTGTTTCGTGGCTCTTCACCTTATGAAGACTTCGATACATGACTCATGGCATCGGGAAGGAAATATGCCCTGACCCTCTCCCGTTCACTCTGAACAAGCAGCTGGCTTGAGGCAGAGACTGACACAAGGAGACGTGTCTTCCCAGCACCTCACGCACGTAGTCTGAGAGTTTGAGGCTGAGTGTGGCATAGTGGTCATAGTGCTTGTGTTGCCCACCTTCTGGCTGGTGAACCCTGTGACACTTTTATATCTTCAAATAGGGATTTGAGTGAGAAAACTGGCCATAAGGTCCATCTGAGGTGGCAAGAGGTTCAAGAAGGCAGTGACAGGGGATATGTCTGTGAACTTCAAGCACATTCTCCATGAAAGGACCAAATGCTTGCCGAGTTAGGTCAGTCGCACATTACCTGGCAAAAAAGTCAGATAGGATGTTGACTTTGTGGCTGGTGACATTCATATGGCTCTTCCTTCTGTATGTGACATGGTTGTAAGTGCTAGGAGGTCAAGTCCAGTGTGCTAGAACATCATGGTGCTCTGCAGCCTTTTCAGGATTGCAGGTATGTCAGCCCGTGTGCTGAAATATCATCAGCAGTCTCTGTGTCCTTCCTGTTAGCACCAACTCCAGAGAAATACTCAGTCAACATTGTCTTACCCATGTGAGCAGTTGGCTCTGCTCTGACTTCTGCAACCCCAGCACTCAGGCTTGACCTCACAGTTGAACAACCAGTTTTTAACTAGATATTGGATGCTTTTAACTCCACCTTATGGGAAAAGTGCAATTTTAGTAGTATGTACTAAAAAGAGATGGAGAGACCGTTCTAAGGGCAGTTTGAGATAAAAGCACTGATAAGTTTGGAGAAATTCACATCCTGATCCAGATATTTCACCTTGGGCATTTCTGCTGCAGGATCAGCATTTCACATGTAAATCCTCTTTTTAGATTTTGTCAGTAGTGCAGTTCTCTTTTAGGACCAGGAGGGGACACTCCATCTCCTGGAATCCCCAAAGCTAGACCAGGTGTCTTTTCAGAAGGTATGACTTCGTCAGACACAAGGCACTC